CAATGCCTTCAAGGCTGGCTACCTTATGAAATTAGAGGAGAAATTATTAGAAATGCTACCTGGGAGAAACCTTCACGACACTCCCCACATCGAATCAAAGATAAAGATATGGAAGAAGCACTACAACTATGTAGCAAGAATGCTTCGTACTAGTGGTTTTGGATAGAATGACACCGAAAAACAAATTGATGTTGAGAGTGATAGTGTTTGGGAAGCACACGTTCGGGTAAAATACTTTCTTTAAGTTACTTTGTATAAGTTATTAATTTTTTAATTCATTTTTCTTTAATCTTAAGTTGGAGATAGAACCATGGTACGGGCTTAGACCGAACCAATGATTTTCAGCCGGTATGACTCCAAGACCGGCATAACTCCAAATCGTTCTGGACCGAAGTATCTTTACAGTCCCTGAGCCGAAGTAACTTTACCTCCCTGGCCGGAGTAACTTTGTCTTTCCTAGGCCGGAGTAACCTTGCCTCTCCTGGGCCGGAGTAAACTTTTACATTTTTATTGGGCCAGAGTAATCATTACGGCCTTTTTACTCAGTCCTTCATACTTTGGGCCACAAAGCCCAACTCACAGCTCGGCCCAATTTTTCTCAAAAATTACCCTCTCACTAACCAATTTTATATGGACTCTATTTGAAAAGTACTTGTTTTTATAATTTAATTATTATGATATTTGAAAAGAAATTATCTCGATACACAAATAAATAAATAAATAAAACAGAATGTACTTAATTATGTGCATCGCATGAATCAAATTAATTTTTTATTTTATTTTATTATTTGTCTATCTTATTGATGTCTTAATATTAATTTATATATAATTTTTTATTTAACATGAAATTATTGATTGATTAAATTAATAGAATTCAATACTTTTTTTTATTAAGTTTTTAGAAGATCAATTGAAAAATGTCAAATGATAAATAGTATGGAGTATTGTTTTAAATAATAATGATTCATCGAAAATGACTGTGTATATTTAAAGCACCTATTGATATTTCTTGAATAATTTATAAATAAATTTTTTGAGTTTATAGTATTACTGATAATGCACCCTTATGAGCTCTGCTAGAAAAGATATGCAAAAACAATTTGGTTGGAATAAAAAATTTGCAGTTATTATGATGTGTACATAATTAATCAGAACTACTTTGAGAACTAAAATTATTAAGGCTATAGATATTTTTGGCTAATTCCCTTTGAGGACATTGTTTTATAATTTGAATTCGTAATTTTTTATACATCAATGTGAATAATTTTTACGATTGTATTGATATAAGCATAAATCTTACATATGAGTGCACCCACCTTAAGCATTTTTTCGTGTAATAAAATATTTAAATATTATCATATAGAAGTATTGTTATAGATCATAATCAAACACCATTTGAAGCATAATTAAAACTCAATGCACCACTTTAGACATAACAAAAAAAATAAGAAATTAGTAAAGACATTCTCGATTAATAACCAAAATAATACACCATGAGTTATAACTAAATCATAATTTGTATATTATAAAATTTTCCATTGTTTTTATTGTTTTTTTTAAAAAAAAAAATTACTTTGATACAAGTGGAGTTCATGATTTTTGGTAAGTTTGACTAACACAAATAAGAATTTGATTTTAAGTTGAGAATATACCTTCTTTTTTTTAACATTTAAAAAAATTATTTTAGGGACTTATGTATAAATCCTAATAAGTGGACTTATTGTCTAATAGGTTTTGTGAGAATTAATGACATTAAACACTATTAAAAAAATGTCATTAATTGTTAATTTTTAGCAACATTTTGAAAATTGTCACAAAAAATGTTACTAATTATAAGTTTTAGCGACAGTTTATAAAAATCGTCATAATAAAAGTCATTAATTTTCAATTTTCAGCAAGAGTTTAAAAAATTTGTTGCAGAAAAACATTACTAATTGTAAATTTTAGTGATAATTTATAAAAATCTTGACAAAAAAAAGTTACTAATTGTCAATTTTTAGCAAAGTATGTAAAAAATCTTCACAAAAAATTATTTTTAGCAACGATTTTACTAGGACTTATCTTCAATAAGATTTGATGGGAATTAAGCTCAAGCCCTATTGATAATTTACCCAAATTATTTTTATGACCATTTCACACAAGATCACACACACAATGACAATTTTTTTTATCAATTATTAACAAATTTGTTTGTATTTAACTTTCAATTATTAAATTTTTCTACACATTATTACAACTCAAAATTAATTTTTTATTTTAAAAATAAATTCCCGTAGACTGCACGGATTACCTACTAGTATTATTAACTCACTAATAATTCTCATTTAATTTCGCTGTACAAATAATCTGATACAACCTATTCCAACAAACAAACAGAGTTGAAGGGACAGGTTGCATTACAACAAGGGCAGGGCGAGCCTCCTGCAAGGATCATCCCCAATTCGAAGCCCACTGCATTTTGATTGGACCACATCAGGCGGTGAAAAAAAAAAGGGTGAATCCCCAGAATTTCACTCATAACCTCATCTGCCGCTGCCACCGTCATACCAAAATTGAACGGGAATGTCGCAATCAATTGGTTCGAATTGATCTGAGTTGTCGCAGGGCGGAATTGGAGTGAGTTACACAAGTCCATACCCTCTTTCTCGCCATCAATTCCATCTCTCAATGGGATTAGAGCTGTATTCTCAGTAGTTGTACAGGTCGCCAAGGCATGTATTGTGGTGGGTCCGCCTATGAATAGTATTCTCCAAAGCTACGATGTTAATACCAAAAATTGGGAAAATGCCCATAACCTGCTTTTGTAATGCAAGTCATTTATTGGGGCCAGGGGGGGTGGTTGACAGCAAGTTATATGGGTATTAGTCATGTCCATGCCTAGTTGGATATGACTTAGATAGAGACAAGGATTTGGTTCATTGGAAGTTTAGGTATCCATGAACATGAAGATGCTTACGTGTATGGAGTGTTTGATATGATAATCCTCCAAGCTTGTCTCATCTAGGCGGTGACAAGTTCGGCTTGTTGTGGATTTCAGTGTTGGATCACATGCCAACAATTGAGGAGGATGAGTGGGGGGAGGAGGTGGAGGTCTCTACACCACTTAATTATAGTTGTTCTTCTTATGGCTACTTTCTTGTCTTCAAGTTACTCCTCACAGACTTCCTACTAAGAGGGGATTTTTTTTTCCTTGGAAGTGTTGCGTCGGTGGATCCTAATAAATATCGTTCACTTAAACATTGAATCTAATGAGGGGTTTGGGATAAAGGATCATTCTATTTCATTTCATCTCAATCTATTTCATTTCACTTATAAATATTTTGATGTGAAATTACAAATCATCCAGTACTATGCAAATCAACATTGAGGCCTCGTTTGTTTTGGGGTGTAAATGATGGAATGTGATTAGGATGGAGGTGGGGCTATTTAGTATTGTGTTTGTTTGTAGAGTTGGGGAAGGGATTAGGATAGAAGAGAGAATTAAGATGGAGATTGGAAGGGAGATTGGGATGGAAGAGATAGAGGTGGTATTAGAAAAATAGTGAGGGGATTAGAATTTTTTTTTATTTTTTACATATTGGGAATTTTTTTTTGAACACTAATGTTTAATTTTTTATATTTTTTTATTTGTTTATATAAAAATAATTTAACAATTTTCACACTAATAACTATCATCAAAACAAACACAATTTTACTTAATCTGTTCACTATCAATCCTCTCACTATTAATCTCCTTACTATAAATTTCTTTCATTTTACCTCTGAAAACAAACGAGACTGCTAGCACAGAAATACACACATACCAAACATGCAGCAATTAGAAAAGATGAGATACACATACATATATATATATACATACACACCCATATCACATACAATTTTGAGGAATAAACATAGATTAATCAATTTGGTTTGTGATTGGTATTTCACGAGTACCAATAAGATAAGAAAAATATTTTGAAGCACTAATTGATCCAAAGTGTTGTGATTGACGAAAAATGTAAAATTTATGATTTTGTATCGGGTGATTGAGTGACATGAGGGGTATAATATATGATGATTAATGAAGGAGTATGAATACATGGTGTTCCAGGAGCATTCAATAATTTTTCTTAATTAAGCACTTCCAATCCAACCTCAACGACATAGAATGGACTATGTGAAGGGATATGCCCACACTCCTCATCCCTTCTCTCTCAAAAAATGTTTGAGACACTTAATTTATCACCCTAAAAAATCATGCCTAATATTGTCTCCTCTCTCTCTCTCTCTCTCTCTCTATTTTCTCTTTCTTCCACCTCATTAGGTGTCAAAATGATAATGCTATATTGAAGGGATGTAACGTAGTTGATAAGATAATATTTAGTTCATTGAAATAAAATGGATTTTATGTTTGGTTGACTAAAAAATAAGGATAAATCCATTGCAAAATACAAAAGAAATATTTATTTACCATTTTAAGAAAATGTTCATTTCATATAAAAGATTAAGGATCATTCTATTCGTAATTCACATGTTGTTTCCATGTAATCCTAATTCTATACTTATAAATAAATGAGGGGCTCCTCTTTTAGGTTTAAAAAAAAAAAGTTACATTTTTTTTTATCATAGTGAAAATTGCAGCGACCGTGGACGTAGTCTTGTTTTGAGGTGAACCACGTAAATCCTTGTGTTCTTGTATATGTCCTTGTGTTCTTGTGTTCTTATTTGTTATTTTGTGTCTATCTTGGTTAGGAAATGTCAACTCTTAACAGGAAGTCTGTCATGCCAATCTTATGTAGTTTCTGGAGCAAAGTATTTCCGTCATGGCTTGGTGCTGTAAGCATCTTATTCTTAATTTTATGTTCTACTTCAATTTCATTCTTCTATTATTTTTATTTTCAATTTCATTCTTCTATTATTTTATTCCTTTGTTCTACTTCAAAATATGTCGAAGTTAGGTTGGCTTGCAAGCCCTTATTTGAGAGGATCTACAAACTTGAATTTTAACAACACACCTGTGAGAAAGGAATGAGTCTTTAGGTCAGGGGCATTCCCAGGCCAACACAAAAGAACAAACGCAGACCTACAGATGTCTTTTTTGGGTGAATAACCCTACAGATGTCTATGCTTACAAACAAGGAGAACCAAAACAACTGGAACAAGAAAACATATTTCAACACACCTCATCCTATCTCCTTCACTTAAAAGACAGGGAAGGAAGAGAAGGGCATCAACTAATTTTCTTATTATGTCCCATAAATACTACGTAATGAGAAAAAATACTTAAAAAAATGTCAAAAATTGGAAATGAACTACACACCAATTGTTTAAGTATATGTGCAATAAATTCAAATTTTTTTCACTTTTTAAAATATTTTTTCTTGGCTAAAGAGCATTTCTGTTAAGCAGGTGTTGGAAGTTGAGATGACTAGAAACTCTTAAAAGGCCTAAGATGGCCAGAAACTTAGCTGATTCTTGTTCTTTCTCTCTTCACTTTCAAGAAGTTCATCCAACAACTTATCATCCAAGCACTCGAATTCAAACACTTGGTTTCCATGCTTACTACTATCTCTCTCCCCTCTATTCTCACTCATCAAAGACGAGGATGAAGATGAAGATGAAGACATAGCAGAGGAGGCACTTCTTGGTGAACGGTATTCCTCTGGGAAGTTGAGAACGGCCAAGTGACCCCTCATGGCATAGGCTGCTCTGTCATAGGCATGAGCCGCTTCCTCGGCTGACTTAAACGTTCCGAGCCACACCCGCGCCCCTTGCCTGGCCGAGTCACGTATCTCTGCCGCAAACTTCCCCCATGGCCGCCTACGAACTCCTCTGTATTTCACCTTCTCCTCATCCTTGGTCTTGCCTCTAGTGTTCTCCTCCATTGTTTTTACATGGCAATGCATGCTACGGGTATATGGCATTTATATGCATAGGGTGGGAAAGGACACTAGAGATTGGAAAAAAAAGGATAGAAATATTATACGGTAGATATTTACATGAGTCATACTTAAAATAATATCTTAATCATATAATATATTTTTTGTCTTTTAATTTTATGTTCTTAATATTATTAAAAAATGATGGTCTATAAAGAGTCAATGTCACGTGAAAAAATATGTAAAAGTATTGCAATAGTTGCCATGTGTTAAATAACCTTTTATGGGAATTCTACTTTCAATATTTGCATGGTTTAAAAAATATGTGTATAGATATATGTATGAAAAAAAATCATTGAATAAGCTTACAATTGCATAGTCTTCTGCAGCTTTGTGATAATTTCTTTCAACAATGATTCATTCCTCCTTTTTTCCCCACCCCTTTGACCCCCTCTCTCTCTCATTGATTACATTTTTTTTTTTTTCCTGCTCCTTCAATCACCACGTGATAAAGGGGGTGAGGGGGTGACCCCCAAAAGAGAGTCCCAAGCATTATTCAATTTCTTTTTAAATGGAGACCAAAGCTTGTATGCAATGCACCTGGATGGTCGATGTGATGGCTTGAGGACACTTTCTTGGAATGCGTCTGTTTCTAAGGATGAATCTAGGGTGCATATGGTGACCACCTCACTCTCATAAAATTAAAATGATTTTTTTTTTTAAGGTTCTTGATATTATAATTTTATAGCATAAAGGATATCAAATATTTTTATAATGTCTAAGGTCCATCAACAATATTTTCATAATGTCTAAGGTCTTTCAACCTTGATCCAGAGAAATTTCAGTCCAGAGAAAATTGGTGCAGAGAAATTTCAGTCCAGAGAAAATTGGTCTAGAGAAATTTCAGACCAAATTTCTCTGAAAAAAAAATTAATCCAGAGAAATTCAATTCTGTCTAAAATCTAGAGAAATTTTTTGCTGACTTCAAAGTGTTTTGATATCTATGTTTCCAATTCACTACATAAATATAATATCCTTCCTAAGGACTACCTTCCTCATTTTCTTAGACAATAGAGCCACAGCCACAACAATAGGCTAGCTAGTCAGACGTTTAAACAAGAATAAAGGTCCAAGTGAGAACGCCACAATTCAAGCTCTAAATTTTACCAACAAGCATCTGTATCAGAGGCAACGAAAAAAGTATAAGGAAACACAAGCAAACACAAAAAAACACAAGCAAAGGCATCATATTCTTCACATAAGCTACCAATTTTAGTTCACAAATCTGTGCTCAACCATGTTTGTGTGAAAACAAGTAGATGTTTGGAAGTAATTACCAAACAATCCATCAAAGAAAGTAGTATCCCTCAAGTGAATCAAAAACATGGAACTAAATATTTGGGAGACCACTTCAAATTTACAATCAAATTGCCCTTCAGAAGACAAAATGTTAAATTTATAATCAGTACGCAACTTTTTTCTTGCAGATCATCTGTTGCAACTTTGGCTGCTGCCCACTCTCTGGCCTTGGCAGCCCAATCTTCTTCATTGAAGCTTCAGCACGATGAACAGCAGAGACGGCGATGAAGACGCTGCTGTGGCCGACTGGAACGAGGCCAAACCAGACAAACCAAAGAAAATTGGGTTGGTCCAGAGAAATTCTTTGGTTTAGACTCAATTTTCTCTAGGTTGAACTAGTGCTCTGCATCAGAGAAATTCTTTGATGCTGTTGTCTTACACTACCCATTGGAAAAGCGTGGAATCAAAGCCACTTCTTGGCCAACTCATTTTCTCTGGAGAGAATCTGTCCAGAGAAATTCTCTGGGATTTTATTGAATTTGCATTTAGTTTCTTTGAATTTGCATTTACTTTCTTTGAATATTTGACCTAAATTCAGTTCAAATGAAAAAAAAAATCGAAATAGACGTTTTATGAGCTAAATTACCAGAGAAATTCTCAACCTAGAGAAAATCTCAACCCAGAGAAAATTCAGTTCCATTGCCAAATACTCCTGGAAGCTTGAACCCAGAGAAATTTGAATTTTCTCTAGGTTGAATCCAGAGAAAATACAAATTTATCTAGGTTGAATCCAGAGAAATTTGAGAAATTCTACTACTAAGAAGGTGGAGAATTTTTAAAAAAAGAAAAAGAAAAAAAACCTATTTTACAACAGAAACAATCTTCCAATTTCCATTTGAAGAAACAACCAGAATTCAAAATGCTAAACCGAAAACTAGGTAATAACATACTCGAAGGTAGAAAAAGAGTTATACCCACTGTTGCTTTGTTGCCATCATTAGGTTTCTTTCGCTTGTAAGTTCTCTTAAATTTGTTGTCAACTGCTGTTTCCTTTATTTTTTTATTGTTGGACATTTCATGTTTAACGAAGCTAATATCAACATCATTCACTGCATCAGTCTTCTCAAGGGATTTTTCATATATGCAATCACCACCTCTAGCTTTCTTTCGCTTGTAAGTTTGCTGTGGTTGGATTTGGATGGAGAATTTTGATTACCTTTTTTGCCTTCATCTTCTTCCAGAATGTCAGAATTTACATTGCAAAGTTCTGCATCTCCAGAAACAACATCAGACTTCTCGCAAGTGGAAATCCCATAAGATTTCAGTGGTGAGGAGGCCCAAACAAGGTGGTCCCGGAGCTCACCAAACTAGCACACAATGGGGGCCAAACAAGGCCTAAGAGGCGTCAAACAACCCCAAAGCTCAAAACACTCTTAAACAACTATTTAGAGCAGGAAAAAACAAGACTTTTATATGTTATATACAAAGTCTAAAAATAGTTTCAAGATAGGCAAAAAGGCTAAGCAAGAATGGGGAACAAAATGAGTAAGTTCTTACCCTTGTTGACCCTCTTCAAGAATGATGCTCCAACAGCTTCTTCAAGCTCAAAACCACCCAAAAACACCAAGAACAGCCCTTTGGTCCCTCAGCAACCAAGAGAAGGTGTAGGACTAGGTGTTTGTGTGCAATAGTAAGACTAAACACACACACAAGACAAAAAGAGAGATATAGAGATGGAATAGATGCAAACTCAAACCCTAATCTCAGAGCTCCTCTGAAAATTTTGTAACCCTAATGGAGGGAGAAGAGGCTCCCTCTTATAGACAATCCCTCTTGTAAAGCTTTCCAAACAAGCTAGTCAAGACGGAGATCCCTCCATACACGTGTATGGAGGGGAGCAAAGTGTATGCCAGCTAGCACAGCTGGTATAAAAATACCTGAAAAAGTAGATGAACAGTGGTCGGCCAGCCACAAATGCAATTTGACCAAAATATATGGCCGGTCGACCATCTAAAGTGTCGTTCGGCCAAAAATTTGGCCGATGGCAACAAAACACAGCCGGTGGCCTCAAGCCATGGCCGGTGGAGTGTGGGGATGGTCAACAAGCCATTCCCTGCCCTCCAAAGCAAAAACACAAGTGTTTGGTGCAAAACCAGACACAAAACAGTTGAGTCGAGAGATCCTGAGGCAAGGTACGTTGCCGAGACCTCAGAGAACTCAAGACGAACACAAACAAGGATGATCACCGAGTGTTCAAGCGGTGACGTCCAAGTCTTGAGGACAGTGAAAAATGGGGTGTCTACAATTATGTAGTAGCTTTGATGATATATGTATGGTATAAGATAGATGATTTGATTTGATGAGTATTTATAATAAAAAATAAAAAAAGGGGGTTTGCCTTAATAATTTTTGTAATGTGTGAATATTCTTGAATAAAACCAGCTTTGATTTCATGATTCTCAGATTGATGGAGAATATGGAGAAAAGCCCTAAATTTTACAAAACCCTATCTATGGATTTTGGTGTTTAGGAGATAATTGGAAATAAATTGATGTTGCGTGGATGTGTTGAGGCATTTTGTGATGGGGTAAATTTAGGATTTTGTTAAATAGATATGTTATGTGACGTGTTTGGTACTCGCGTTGGGGAAATTTAGGTGTCCACTTGCCCGGTCGTGTGAGGACGACAAATTTGGAAATGTTTTGAGGTGTCCACTTGCCCAGTCGTGTGAGGATGAAAAATGTGGAAGAGCTGAGGTACCCACTGGCCATTCGTGTGAGGAAGGAAAAATGTGGACTTGGTTAATAAATGTAGGATTGTTTGGAAAGATTTTATATATATATATACTCATGTGGATTTGTTTCAACTGAAAGTCTTGGGGCAATGTATTTTGGGTTACACATAATTATATCAAATGTTTATATACCTTATTAAATGTATTCTCTATTGGGCATTAGTTCATTCCTATCATTACAAACATTTCAGGTTTATGATAATGTGCCTGCACTCCGCTAAGAATTTGTGGGGATCTTGATGGAGCGGAAAATCTTATTTTTGGATGTTTTATGTGATTAAAGCCACCAGGCTTAAGTGTTTGGGATAGAAATTCCGCTTATATGTGTAATCAAAGCCCTTGCCTTGAAAGGTGTAAGCCTTCTTTTGGCATTTTGTTGTATCTCTTTTATTTCATGAACTGTAATGTATTATTATTATGATCATTAATGTTGTAAAGTGAAATATAACATCTATGAGAAGGATAAACACTAGACTTATGAAATGGTTGTCCTTTGATTAATTTTCTATAATCTTTTTTTATACTTTGAAATTAGAGTTTAATAAAGGATTGGTAATTATAACATGGTTAAACGATCAGAGCGTTTCAACTTGGTATCAGAGCTAGCCAGGTTTGAATACCTAGGCTCGAGGGAAGTGACGTTTGTCACAATAGGTTTATGAGGCTAGGATGGAATGTTTATGTGCCTTGTATGACACATGTGTGCTTATATGACTATGTGGGTATGGGATTAAACTTGTAAGATGAAGTTTGTGCCTTTGAATTTCTTAGGAGTCTTGTTAGGAGGACACCTAATCAATGCCATTCTAACTCAAATTCTTTGAATGTTTGTGGGGCAAATTGACATCTTAGGAGGATAATTCATATGCGCTTTATGTGATTATATGTTTATGTGGTTGTTTGAAACAAGTGGTGAGTTGAACCTTTTGTGGGGTTTATAGTGGGTTGAGAGTAATTTAGTAAGGCA